TCAGTTTCCCCCTCCCCAGTGCTGAGATCACACGTACCATTGTCACGATGTCTGGCTCTCTGTGTCGGTGCTGGTGCTAGAACTCAGGTTGTTAGGCTTGCATGGCAAGCTCTGTGCCAACGGAACAGTTTCCCCACCCCGCCTCTGTACACTTACGGATCCGTGAGCTTACGCAGATGCTTTTTTTTCTCCCCGGGGAGAAAAAAAAATTCCTGAGTGGAAAAGGGTTAAGAAGCCCTTATCCACAAATCATGCTGCAGACACATCGCTTCACTGGCTCCACAAATGTTCCCTCCGGTATTTTCATTACTTCTTCAAGGGCATTTCCTTCTTTTGTCATGGTCTTTACGGTCATACAGAAGATAAATACAGTTTTCAGAGATGAATGAAATATAGAGTCCTTGTGATGTCCAGAGGCCACACAAGGGGAAATCTGATATCTCACATTCATTGATGAAGAGATTTATTTATTATTATTATTATTGCTATTTGTATCATTATAACTATTTGTGTGTGTGTGTGTGTGTGTGTGTGTGTGTGTAAATGCCACAGCTCAAATGTGGCAATCTCTCCTTCTACCTTTATCTGAGTTCCAGGGATCAAACTCAGGTCCTCTGGCTTGCATAGCAAACACCTTTTCCAGCTGAGCTGTATCATCCACCCCCTTTTCTGTTTTAAAAAATAGCTAAATTTTGGGATGATTTCTTCTACAGACCTAGCTAATATAGCATCTTTGCTGTGTGGGTTTTTAACAACCTTTTCTGATTTGGGTCTACTCCAAGGACCCAGCCTGGTGATGACTGGGACTGGGAAGCTAGAGGCTATTGAGGGTCCTGGAGTCAGAGGAGAGTGCCTGGAGCAGCAGGAAGTAACTGTGATGACCTCATTGCTCAGAGAATGGTGGTGGAGGAACACAGGCCTGGAGAATAAAGCATCTCTGTCACACAAGTCCAGCTGGCCTGAGCAAGTTCTCAGTGACATGCTTGGACTAAAAGTGTTAAAGACTGTGGCCTTCCCTTTGCCAGGACTGGAGCTCCTAGCAGGTTACAGGAATAGGATGAGATGCAAGAGGGATTTAGGGCAGCCACACCAAGACCAGAAGCTGCTATTAGAATGTAGAGACCTGTGATCCTGATCAGCCTGTTTTACTTTCTGGATAATTTCCACCTTGTTGTAAAATCTCTTTTGAAGGGGTTATTTTTGAAGATGCATGTGATAATGTAGGTGAAGCTTTTTATAGAATGCGCTGAAGAGGCGTATGATAACGGTAGATGGAACTTTTTACGGAATGCACGTGAACGATTGATTTTGTCATAATTCCTGGAAGAGGGCCAAGTTGAGGGTCCGCCTGAATGTTTGTGCTGAGATCTGGGTGACTGGAAGAGGCCAACAAAGTCCTCTAAAGCAGGGGTGTGGAGACCAATGGTGGTGGGCCTCTCTTCAAAATAAAAGACTCATGGGAGTTCCAGAGACTACCTCTAAACGGCCCAGGAACCACAGAGAATTTGACTGCAAAAGCGCCACTGACTACTGAACATGAAATAAGCTCATTCCATCTTGGTATCTGTACTGCTGAGGTGGGATGGAGACACAGCTCAACCCTCATTTGACACAAAGACGCTCTTACAGATGGCTTATTCCAAGAAATCAATGAACAAAAATAGACAAACGTTCTCATCTAGAAGTCATGACTCATGGTTCTCCCGAGAAGTCTCATAGGAGCCAAACTCAGGAGAGTGGATTCACACCTCATTGATGCCAGCAATTTCACACTGAGGAGAACACTTCAGTCTAATGAGTTGAAAAATCTGATCATATCAGATGAGAAGCCACACTTCAGAATTTTTTGCAGAAACCATAGGAAATCCACGATCATAAAGGGTAGATGTAACTGGTCACAGGTAGGTAAAAAGATTTTAAAAGCCAGGCATAGTGGTGCATGCTTTTAGACCCAGCACTCAGGAGGCAGAAGCAGGTGCATCTCTGTGAGTGCAAGGCTGGCCTGGTCTATATAGTGAGTTCCAGGACAGCCAGGGCTACACAGAGAAACCCTGTCTTGAAAAAAATAACGATAATAAAAGAACACTTGTTTGGAGCTGGAGAGATGGCTCAGTGGTTAAGAGCCCTTGTTGCTCTTGCAGAGGACCTGGTTTCACTTCCCAGCACCCACATAAATGGCTCATAACTATCTGTAACTCCAGCTCCAGGGGATCCAACAGGCACACTTGGTGCACACACATGCATGTGAACAAAATATTCACACAGAAGAAATCAATAAATGAAGAGAGAGAGAGAGAGAGATTTCAAAAGGTGCTAGGCATGGTTGTGGATTCCTTTAATTCCAGTACTTGGGAGGCAGAGGCAGATGAATATTTGTGAGTTTGAGGCCAGCCTGGTCCACAGAGTGAGTGCTAGGACAGCCAGGGCTATGTACAGAGATGTTGTAAAGAAATTTTTTAAGGTGAATAAGACTACTGATAAGAGCTTGTGTGATTACTTCCAAGGCTTTCAAGGGTTATGTATCTGAGTCCACCATGTTTTAAAACTATGCACTCTTTTCTATTTAATTCCAACATAATTTAAAGATGGCATAAATTACACAGTCCTTACAGACGTCCCTTTTGGAGATGAGGTTACTCATCATGATGGAGGCATTAGTTTATGATCAGTCCCTACCAGTAAGTAGAAGGAAAAGTACTTGTCTGTTTATTTTTGTGACAGTGGATCAGCCCAGGATAGTTCAATTCATTTTGATTATTAGTATTTTCCGAAACAGGGTTTCTCTGTGTAGTCTTGGCTGTCTTGGACACACTTTGTAAACCAGGCTGGCCTCACACTCACAATGATCCACCTGCCTCTGCCTTCCCCAGTGCTTCCTGATTAAAAGCATGTGCCACGATGCCCTTAAATAATTTTGAAATGAAGGTTGGCCATTAACGTCTGCTCCTCCTCTTCCATCTTCTGAGTGTGAGGATTACAGGTGTGTGCCATCAGACCTAGTGTATACAGTGCTGGCAGCTGGACTAGGGCTTTGTGTTAGGCAAGCAGTCTACCAACTGAACTACATCCCTAGCCCCCAGGAAAGTGTTCAGTTAAAACATATACCTCAGGGCGGTTGGGAGGCAGAGGCAGGCAGATCTCTGAGTTCGAGGCCAGCCTTGTCTACACAGTGAGTTCCAGGACAGCCAGGGCTACAGAGAAACCCTGTCTTGAAAAAACCAAAAACCAAAAGAATGTTGGTGGCTGGAGAGATGGCTCAGCGGTTAAGAACATTGGCTCTTCAATTCCCAGCGCCCACATGGTGGCTCGCAACCATCTGTAATGGGATCTGACTCCCTCTTCTTGTGTGCAGGAAGACAAAGTACTAATAATACATGTGGTGTGTATTTGTCTTTAAAGTCTAGAAATCTTAATACGTCCTTTAATTATCCAGATGAAAAGCGCTGCGGTCATTTATTGTTCTTAAAAGAAATGGTGACATTTCTGTTAAACTAACTACAAATATTGATACTGTAAATTATGACTCTACAAAGCACCATTTTCGGAGCACTTACCAAGAGATCGTGAAAACCACCTGAGATGTTCATTAAACATTCTGATTCTAGCTGGCAGTGGTGGTGCACACCTTTAATCCCAGCTCTAGGAAGGCAGAGGCAGGCGGATCTCTGTAAGTTCAAGGCTAGCCTGGTCTACAGAATGAGCTCTGGGACAGCCATGGCTACACAAAGAAACCCTGTCTCAAAAAACAAAACAAACAAAAAAGTAACGCTCTCTTTGGTTTCCTGAGCAACGGTACCATTCGATCTGCCTCTGGCCTCCTGAGTTTATGCTTTGGTTTCTCTGCTCATGGAGATGGAGCGTCAGTGTGGCCATAAGCCAGGTTTTGGAATTTCCCAGGCCATGGGTGGACCTGAGACTGTGGTGACTTGACAAGGAGAGCTCTCTCAGGGAGACACTTGGTCTTCCCTCGGAGCGCCCCTCTTATCTCTGGGGCCAGAGCATACCACCACCATTCTTTCTTCCTAAAACAGTCTCATGTAGCCCAGGATGACCTCAGATGAAATTGTGATCCTCCTGTCTCCACCTGGTTGCCACCATGCCTGGTTTTATGCAGTGCTGGGGATCAAACCAAGGACCTCTTGCATGCTAGATGAGCATTCTGCCAATTGAGCTACATGCCTAACCTCTTCCTTATGTCATCAGCAGGTACGTCTATGTCTATGCTTCTGCTGTGCTTTTATTTACTTGAGCCCAGACACGTGGAAAGCGTGTGAGAAAAAGTCTGTTGTGGGCATGAAGGGTTAAATGGCTCATGTGACCCTGTGGTCCTGCTCCCAATACCCCCTTTCCTTGCTCTTGTTTGAGACAGGGTCTCAGTCTGTAGCCAATGCTGGCCTGGACTCAAGATCCTCTGCACAGCCTTTCCCCCTTAGCCTTCAAGAGGTTAATTACTCTGTCCCTGGTGCCATCAGCCAGGACAAAGAAGGCAGTTCTAACACAATTGTCTTATGCTTAAGGGAAGTCCATTACAATCATTATTATGTATTTAAGCCCCATCAACTAATTAGTATTTTGTCTACATTGGTATATTTCTTTATTTTTAGTTTACATACATTAGTGTTTGGACTTCATGTTTCCACGGATGTCAGATCCCCTGGAACAGGAGTTAAAGACCGTAGTGAGCTGCCATATGGTTGCTGGAAATCCAACCCAGGTCCTCTGGAAGAGCAGTACTTATAACTGCTGAGCCATCCTTCCAGCCCCTGTATATTTCTTTTTTGTAGAAATTATAGTGCATCTATAATCCTGCTATCTTTTATGCTGCCTAATATGAAACTTTACCCATACTGTCATAAACCCTTCATAGATGTTTTAGTGGTTGAAAACTCCATTTCATGGATGTACCATGCTTCATCGACCATTTCCTTAATATTAATCATTTAGTTTCCAATATCTCCCCTATTGTAACTAAGTAATACCACAAGGCAGACTTCTGTGCATTAAACTTTTCCCATATTTTATTTGCACAACCTTTATCATACAAAATAGGATTCTATGTTACACATTCATACTTCTCCAAATCCGGTTTTTGGACAGTCCTAAGGGTGCAGTCCTATTCTTTAACTTTCCTGTTGAAGACCTCCTGCCGCACTTGCAATGGTCCATGCCTCAAAGGCAGCATCTTCTCAAAGGGCAAAAGCCGACGCAGTCGCTTCTAGGAAGCTGAATATGTCCTGCCCACATGGAGGCTCTTGGCACTATCTGAACAAGGCCTGCTGGGGATGAAATGACAGCTTATCATCCCTCTGCTAGTGCAATCAGTTCTCCGAGCGGAGACCTGCCATCACAGTAACTTGCTGGATACCCAGGCTGCCGATCATCCTGGTGTTTGGTCAGGCCTTGCCCAGGGCCTTAGGGGATCTCTGTATCCATAGTATATATCTGAATGAGATCAGACACAATATTGTCAATGATTGGCTTGGTAAGGTCGTCACTAAACACCTGCCACCAAGGCTTCTCAGCCTCACCCTCTGCAGGCACCTCGACTCCATAGACCTGTAAGGCCAGGTAGAGCACTGCCACCGCTAGGTGCTGAGCCTGGAAGCGGAGGCACAGCCCCCCATGGTAGCTATCTCTTAGTAAGGCCCAGGCTGTCACAGAGATGGGGGTTCGCTGCCAGCTGTAACGATTCAGCCAGTTCTTGAGAGAAATCAAGTAGTGCAGCAGGTACTTATGTGGATGCTGGAAAGAGACCTGGAAGCGCAGAACTCGTAGCATAAGAAGCTCACATTGCACAATGCTGTCTCGTAGCTCCCAAAAACGGGAATCCAGCTCCAACGGCTCGCTGCCCGGGTTAAAGTACCTGTGCGACACGTTGATGATGTCACGAGTACGCAAATGCTGCTCCTCCACTTTGCCGGCCAAGTAAATGGAAGACATGGCGACCAGGTAGAGGTCATAGGCGTCCAGGTTGATCTCGCAGAAGAACTTGTGGTAAATGGTGCACGCGGTGGCGATAGGGATGGACTGCATGCCCAGCTTGACCCCTGCCTCCATGATAAACCGGGTTACTCGGAAGTGCACCCTCGCCTCGGGAGCCGGCCTCTCCTCGGCTCGCGGCGCCGCCGCACCTCTTCCGCAACTGTCCGGACGAACAGCCTCCATGAGGCCCAGCCGGCCGCCCCGGAAGGAGAAGCGCTCCGGCGCGCCGAGGCCGGCTCCGGGGGTCCTCGCGGAGGGGGCGTGGCCGCGTGACGGCACGCCCACACCCGCCCTGCCGCCACACCCACCCTGCCCGGCTTTTCCCCTCGTTTGAAGATGCTATCTCAGGAGGAGCTTGCTGGAGCCGATGGAATGCTATTTTTAAGACGTCTGAGAAGCTACCACTTCTAATTCCGGGGACTTTCTCACTGTTCCTGAGAATCTAGGCTCTGGACAGTCTGAGGGCCAACCCTCGCTCTGGCATTCGCCTGTGACCCGGGGGACCTTGGAGACCTTGGTTGACGCCTCTAGGTCTCAGTTCCTTAGGTGCAAACTGGGATGGTTGGCTGTCCCCTCCTCGCGGAGCTCTTGTGAAAAATGAACGAGTGATGTAGGCAGATGAAGTATGCTCCATAAGTTGGGCTTTGATTTTTGGAGACAGGATTTCTTCGCTTAGCCCAGGCTGCCCTTGTACTCTTGATTCTCTTATTTCAGTCGCCTGTGTGCTGGGATTTCAGGTGTGCGCCACCTCACTCAGTTCATGAAGTTTTAGTTTTGTTTTGATTGAAAGAAATCAAGGCACGGTTTCTCTATGTAGCCTTGCCTAGACCAGGCTGGCCTTAAAATCACAAGTGCTCCTCCCGTCTCTACCCAAGATTAAAGGCCTGTGTCACCACTGGCACCACCACCCAGCTTCAGCTCATGAACTTCAAAATTACTAATTTGTTTGTCTTTGGTTAGCAACAAAGATGGACCTTTCACTTATATTTGAGTCTTTGTCTGTATGAATTAAGACGTTTTACTTTATTATTTTTTATATTTTGGTTTTTCGAGACAGGGTTTACCTGTGTAGCTTTGGCTGTCCTGGACTCACGTTGTAGACCAGGCTGGTCTTGAACTCACAGCGATCCAGTGAGTTCTTCTCTTCCTCCCCAAGTGCTGGGATTATAGGTGTGGGCCACGGTGTCTGGCTTTATTTTGGGTTTTTTTTGAAACAGTATTTCTCTGTGTAGTACTGGCTGTCTTGGTCTCTCTTTGTAGACCAGGCTGGCCTTGAACTCACAGCAATCTGCCTCCCTGAGTAATTAAGATATTTTAAAGTGGAAAAAAAACCAAAACCTAAGCCATGAGGAACTGTAAAAAGAGCTATATGTATTAGACAATGTAGCAGATATGGATTTTTTCTGAGGGTTCGTCTAGCCCCTCAAAAGAGCAAGTCCTAGTACCTCGAAATTTCTATACATTTCTCATTTGGCCACTATTATTTTCCTCTTTAAATGTTTTCCCTAAGACTACATTCTTAAGTTTTATCTTTTGTTTGGTTGGTTTTTGTTTTGTTCTTTTTTTTTTTTTTTTTTTTTTTTGTGTGTGTGTGTGTTTTGTTTTTTGTTTTGTTTGTTTGTTTGGTTTTTGAGACAGGGTCTCACTCTATAGTTCAGATCTGGAACCTGCTATGTTAACCTGCTATGTTGACCTCAAACTCCAAAAGATCTGTCTGCCTCTGACTGAGAAGGTGTGGGCTACCAAATGCTACAGGAAAAACTATGTTGTTGTTAGTGCTGGGGATAGAATCTAGCACTCTACCCATGAGCTAAATGCCCGGCCACTTCAGTAAGACTTATTATTATTATTATTATTATCATCATCATATCAAAGGACTAAGTTGAGAGGGAGAACTGAGCCGTTTCCAGAGTTCTGCGGTACCCTAACTTCTGTAGGAGCCCATTGGTAAATTGAGAGTGTCCATCCTGAGTGCTGCCGTCTGCCTTAGCCCTGTAGGCAGGAGGGCAGAGCAGCCGGTGTCTGCTGCAGCTCCCCCTCCTCCTGAAAGCAGCTGTAAATCCATTTCCTGTCTTGTAATTATGTCTCGTGTAGTAATTAGCCCCTTCATATCAATGAAGCTGAATTTCCATGGGTAATGAAGCGAAGCCCCAGTGTGGGAGGCAAACTGAAATGTGGCATGGGCAGGTGAAGGCCTCCCAGATTTCCTTGGGGACAGAGGAAATAACCCTCCATATTCAAAGGCCACTGTGTGCCCAGCCTGGGGTTTCGTGCTCCCCCTCGCTGATTCCTGCGCCCCAGAGTCTACACTTGTCTTTTCTTGTTCATCAAACCATTGTGTGTTAAGCAATCAGCAGCATCCTGGTGAACATGCAGCGGGGCTTTCCCGAAAGGAGGAACAATAGCAGCTCGCCAAAGTTCTGCTTCAAAGGCAAACAGATCTCTCTGTGTTCAAGGCCAATCTGGTCTACATAAACAGTTTCTGGACAGCCAGGGCTACAAAAACAAAACAGAAAACCCTGAGAGCAGCTGGGCACGCCTGTAATCCCAGCACTAGGGGAGGCAGAGGCAGGCAGATCTCTGTGAGGGTTTTTTTTTTTTTTTTTTTTTTTTTCCTTTCTGTGTAGCATGGCTATCCTGGATTCGCTTTGTAGCGGACTGGCCTTGAACTCACAGCAGTCCAGCTGCCTCTGCCTCCTTGAGCCCTGGGGTTACAGGTGTGTGCCACTGCATCCAGCTCTTTCTTCTTTTTGTTTTGTTTTGTTTGTTTTCAAGTCAGGGTTCCTCTGTGTAGCCTTGGCCGTCCTGGAACTCAGAACAGGCTGGCCTCAAATTCACAGAGATCTGACTGCCTCTGCCTCCCGAGTGCTTGGATTAAAGGTGTGTGCCACCATGCCCTCACTACCCAGCTTCTTTCTTTTTTAGACAGATCTTACATAGTCCATGCTGGCCTTGAACTCCTTATCTTCCTGCCTTTGCCTCCTAAGTGCTGGGATTCCAAGCATGAGACACCACTTCCAGCTGGACCCTTTTTCTTTCTTTTCTGATATTTATATGTACTACTTTAACTATGTGTAGGTGTGAGTGTGTGTGTCTGCGTGTGGGTATGTGCATGTTGAATGTAAGTGCCTGGGGAGGCCGTAGGCATCAGATCCCCTGGAGTTGGGGTTACAGACTGTTGTAAGCAGCCTGACTTGGGTGCTGGGAATCAAACCCAGGTCCTCTGGCAGAGCTGTAAGTGTTCTTTACTGCTGAGCCATCTGTCCAGCCTTGAGCCTTCTATTGTCCCTCCTTCCTGGAAAGCCCGACTGCTTGTTTATCAGGATGCTACGGATTACTTAGTGACACTAACTGGTATGAGATGGTCTCACTATGTAGCTGGCCCCTGAACTCCTTCTGCTTCATCCTTCCAAGTGCTGGGATTATAGGCATTCGTGACCTTAGCTGGCCTGGCCTTGAATCCTTGAGAAAGCTACTCAGCCACTGATTAAGTCCCTTAGATCCCTGATCTCAAAAATGAGGACAAGGATTACTGTCCCTGTTGGACTGAGGAAGAGGTAGGGAGTTCCTGGCTTTTCTGGGACACGTCTAGGGAAGCAAAGAGTAATATGAAGTTCGACAGGGGTCCTAAAGAATTAGAAGTCCTCCAGAAAATTTCAGGCTGGATGTAAGAACAGGCCGGAGCCTTGGAGCCAGAGGAGGAAGCATCTCCAAGGAGAAGATTTATCTCAGAGTTCCAAAAACTTACCTCAGAGCTAAATCTACATATGCATATTTCCTGGCTTTTGTTTCATCCTTTCTATAAATTGTAACTCTGCTATTGGCAAGGCTGGAAGAAGCTAAGAATGTCTCTCTCCCCAGCTCTGGCCAAAACAAATCCTTTCTTTTCTCAATTCCTGTCTCCCAGTTTTTTTGTAAAGTAGCAAGCAAAAAACGCTGAGAGCTCCAGAACACTGTTACTTCCTTACTGGCTACTTCAGACCTGATCAAGACTGTGCACCTCTGCCTTGTTTAACCTCAGTAATTCTCTGAGGGAGGTATTGTTCGTCCTACATATAAATAAGAAAACCGTGGGATTGGAGATGGCTCAGGGGTTAAGGTCACGGGCTGTTCTTTCAAAGGCTCTGGGTTTGATTCCCAGCACCCACATGGTAGTTTACAACCATCTGTAATTCCAGTTCCCGGGAATCTGATGCCTTCTGGCCTCCAACAGCACCAGGCATGCACAGGGCGCACATGCACACATGCGGGCACTTGCAAATATAAAACGATTAATAAAAAAGAAGAGCTGGGCGGTGGTGGCGCACACCTTTAATCCCGGTGCTCAAGAGGCAGAGGCAAATGGATTTCTGAGTTTGAGACCAGCCTGCTCTACAGAGTGAGTTCCAGAAAAGCCGGGTCTACACACAGAGAAACCCTCTTTCGAAAGGGGGAAAAAAGCAGTCTAATAATTTTAGAGCCTTTCTTGAGACCAGCATTAATGATTGTACTGTGTGTGGTTTGTGTGCCTGTGTGTGTGTGCAGGCTAGAGAACAACTTTGTGTGTCCTTCCTCGGGTGCTGTTCTTCAGGCACTATCTACCTTCGTCTTAAGACAGGCTCTCTCACTGGCCTGAAAAGGTTAGGGTGGCTGGCCGGGGAATCCCAGGGATTCTCTTGTTTGTAAGTATGCACCACCACATCTCTCTCTCTCTCTGTTACATGTATGTATAGGTGTGGGTGTATGCATGTAAAGCCAGAGGTTGCTTCTTTAGTTGCTCTCCACCTTATTTTTTTGAAATAGAGTCACTAAATGAACCTGGAGTCCATCAGTTCCACTAGGTTGTCTGGCCAATGAGCCCCAGAGATCCACTTGTCTTTGCTCCTAGCACTGGATGAAAGACACACTCTGCCACCGTCTTTGTGTTTGTCAGGCAAGCACTTTACCAACCATGATGGTTAGTTTTAATGGCAAAGATGACACAGTCTAGAATCCCCTGGGAAGACAATCTCTGTTGTTGATTATTAATATTTAATATTGATTTATCTTTTAGTTAAACAGTGGTTATTCCTAAACCTGCTGTATACCCAAATCGCCAAACAGAGACTAGGATTTACTTAATTAACATAGAGCACAATGCTCTAAACCTCCAAGTCCGCATAATTTCATTCAGATTACACCCATTATATTTGCTTTTAGTCATATCTTAGGTCAGGTTCATCTATTCACGTGGTTCCAAGTCCTCT